AAGAAATAGCGCTTCAGAATAACAGCATCAAATCACATGCCGCTATCGAACTTAACGTGCGTCCCTCGAAGTTAAGGAAGCGTCCCTCGAAGCTCGGAGGAATAAATTAAACAATTATGTTTAATCAGAGCGTAATTTTGTGTTTTAGCTATAATTAGTTTTTAATTTAAAACGAAAATATGTCTTTTGGTGGACTCATAAGGTTAGCTTTATTAGAACAATTAGTAAATGGTCATGAAAATAAACTTTATTTTTGTCCACAAACTCTACTAAATTTTCAAATTGTTTGCGGGTTTTTTTTTTGTGCCATGCTCCATTGAAAGTGTTTGAGAAGATAGATCAAGAACAATAACAAACGAAACTGAAAGCGAATGCAAATCATAAACAAAGACATGTAGGGTTGTAGGCAACCCAAATGGTAAAAACGTGCACATGTGGTGGCGGTGCATATGTTTTAGAGGCTTCGATGGTTTGATGTTAACTCTCTCTCTAACTAATAGACTATTCGTATAAGGGCATCTCACTTTATGCATCCTATATTTTTTTCCTTTTTAACGTTTGATGGATAACTGGGACGGAAACGCATACGTTAACTCGGAGATATAGCACACCTCGGTTGAGTTGCTGCGTTATCGAAAATGTTATCCTGAACTGTTAAGTCGCCATAACGTGTGGACGTTAAAAATAGCATTTATGATACAGCACAGGGCTGAATTTGTAGAAATGTCTCATGCCATTTTCCGTGGAATGCAATTTTCTACAACTTTTCTATTCAATGTTTTCCTGTCAGATTAATATTGATGGAAGGACGATTTTGACTGAAAGTCATTTAAAAGTCTGCCATAAATCTGTTTTTTCCGCGTATATCCTGACAGCTGTCAAATTTAAGATAAATAAAATTGGTTTCGAGTATCAACAAGGAATGCGACTAAAATTAAACATATTCCCTTATAAGAAAAATTATAATTATTCGAGTGGCCGCAACTGTAATTTTTTACATACAATTTCAAATAGATATATCAAAAATATTAAGGTTAGACTTAGGTATACGATATTATACATAAAATATATTTAGAATTAAAAAATGTAATAATATATAGGGTGTTTCATTTACAATAAGCAAGTTGATACCTACTTGTATAACCTAATATTATAATGTAAAAGTCTAACCGTTTTTTGATATATTTCGTATATGATCATAATCTTCTCGGCAATAAGTATTAAAATTAAATTATTATTCCACTCACCAGTCCCAAATTACAAAATGCTTACTGACTGTTCCTGAAAAGTTATTGTTGTTTTGCTGTATGCAGATGGTTCCTACTTAGTAAAACTTGCAACTCTTTTCTTACTATTTTCTTCTTTTTCCAGCTTCGACCAATCACTTGAAATCTGAAACAGTGAAGCCAGTGTCGCCCATTCAAGTTGCCTTTGAAAAGCTGCGCGATGCCGCCATTGAGAATTTGTGCTACGCACTGGAGGCTGCGCACACTTTGTTGCCTGAATGCGTGCGCGCTCTGGTTGCTTCGGTGTCCAACAGAATGTTCACTGCCGAGAAAAGCGACAGGTTTGTTTGAAATTGCATCATCAATCATCAATCAAACCCGTTTCTTTGTTCTGTCTTCAACAGCGAGTCGACTCTGATCTCCACTAACATAGTCATTATGCTCGGGCACGTTGCTGTCTCCATGAAAGGGACACCGAAGACGACGGACACGATTCTGCAGTTTTTTCAGCAACGCTTTTGCAAAACGCCCTCCGATCTTGATTTGCTAATTGTAGATCAGTTGGGCTGCATGATCATTGCCCAGTGTGAGCCGCACATTTACAAAGTGGTGATGAAGATGTTCACCATGATTACTGTGGACAGCAGCAGTGCTTATGGCAACGACAACGAAAAAACACAGTACAGGTATACTATCTGATAAGATTTGGAGTTGGTTTTTCAAAGACTTAATTTATCAGGTCGACTGCAGTTTGATAAGTATGCTCAAACCGTCCAGTAGTCAAGTCGAATTTTCTTACTTTTGGCTATTTGTTATTACTTGGGAAGTTATTATCAATCAATCGAGTACGAATTGGAGTAGGTTCTTTTAAAGAGTTCTTGGGAATATTCTCGGAGTCTCGGAGAGACAGGTAGTAGGATAAAAATGTATTAAACATTCAAAGTAACAACATGTTGACCAGATGTTCGGCCGGTTGCTCCCTTTGCCCATGATCTAAGTAGGGCAGTGCCCTAACATGGACATCCCGAGCTAGTCGGAGCAAGGCACGACAACCTCAGGAGATAATCTGGAAGTGTCGGTTTTGATTTTATTCGAGGGGCATTCAATAAGGGGCAAAGGTCTTCCTGAAGGGAAGCCAAAAACCAGTTTTGTTTCGACCTTTAATCTTGGTAATGTCAGCCGTGGCGTAAACCGCTGGCAGTCTAAAGCAGTAGATGGCCTAGGCCACGCCTCTCTCTCTCTCTCGACGGTGCAGAGACCAACTAGCACCGACCAGAGCGAGAGAGCACGAGTCCGCCCAGTCACGTAATGTTGGATTTTTGTGTGTGTTGGTTTGTCGTCACGTTTTGTCAGGGGAGAAAATTCACCTAAAATATGGAAAATCGCTTATACATGGGACCATGCGAAGGGCGATCGTTTGCTTTAACTTGTTTAGGTTAGTCTAGGTTTTGCGCGAGGGCAGAGCTTTACACTCCGCTATGATACAATTTTCCAGAGACGGTTATATGGTTATATAGGCCACTTCTGTAGCTTTGTGCAGTTCGGTTCTTCTGGTGTATCTGTAAGCCGATAAGACGCCTCTCAGGAACCTATTTTGGGTTCTTTGAACACGCCGTCTCGAGGAATTATTGACCGAGTGCCAGATAGGAGATCCGTAGGTCAGTATGGGTCTTATAGTGGAGGTGTAGAGCAGAAGTTTGTTTTGAGGTGAAATGAATTTGGCTCCAGAAGAGAGTATAACTTTCTTTGAGCTATGAAGGTCTTTTGTATAGCATAGTCAACATGTTTATTGAAATTAAGTCGGGCATCTTGGAGTATTTTAGACCATGAGTGGCGATAGGATTTTGTTGTTAGTAAATTTGCGCGAATAGATAATCAGTTCAGTCTTGTCCTGGGATTCACTTTAAGTTTTCGTTTGTTGAAATACGGCGTCAATACACTCAGGTGTGAGACGATGTGTAAATAGCCGTATCATCCGCGTATTGTGCTATTTTTGTAGTGGGAAGCTTTGGAATGTCTGCTGTATACAATGGATACAGCAACGGCGAAATCACTGTACCGTGTGGTACTCCTGCCGCTATGCGTCTTTTGGCAGACGTGCAATTCTCCACTTTCACCTCTATGGTACGGTTTTTTAGGTAAGACGCTGTAAGGGAAACTAGGTAGAGTGGCAGTGAATGCACGGCAAACAACTTGTACAGAAGGCTTGTGTGCCAAACTGTGTCGAAGGTCCGTTCCATATCGAGTAACAGCTTTATAGGCATCCGTTACGATCCTAGCCGTTCACGGGAAGTTAGATTGCGTAGCTTTTCCGGCCAGCATGGGTTATGTCTCGTGCAAGCTCTGCTGCCCTTATACGATCAGACGATTTCCTGAATCGCTGCCAACGATTCGGTTTTTCGCCTTAATAAGGTCCAGAATTTCCTCAGAAAGGTTGGCGCGCCGCGGTCTATTCGGAACTTTTTTGGCCAGACCTTGTCCGGGCCTTGGCCGGACCAAGTCCGTTGTATATTCTTTGCCAGATCCTTTACTGCAAGCTCTAGAACTTGGACAGTATTGTTATGTTTTTTTTTTAGTAAAGGGTAGCGGCTTATTAGTAAGGCGGTACTTGACACCAAGAAGTTATAATACTAAGCTCTCAAAACACGTTTTGACTGCCAGTCAATCCTAACAATACGGTCTACCAGCTATAACCGGTAATAGGAACAATGTGTAACAATGGTCATAACAATAATTCATCTCAAGTATCGATCCGGTTCGGAATACGTGTCAAGTCTTCTAGTCTCTTTCGATACGGAAATTTGGCTTGATCCCACTGAGAAAGTTGTACCATTTATCAGGCAGGTGTTAAAAAGTTTTCAAACAGTTCAATGCAGAGCTATACCTCCGTGCTTTATGACTTCAATTTCAATTTCGTCTTCACCTGCGGTTTTGTTTTTTTTTATCCCAAAGAACATCACTTAGTTCGGCCAGTGTGATTTCTGGAATTTTTCAGACCCTTGGTTTTGAATCTTGGATAAATATTTGCTGTTTGCTCACTTGGTTCTCTGTACAATTCAGCATAAAGGGTCCTGGTGATATCTCGGATTTCCGTTTGATTTGTTGTTATATGGTCATTTTTGTCTTCTAGTTTATTTATGTTTTTTTCTACCCTTCTGAGAGATTTTTCGAATAGACTATCTTCCTTTATGTGACCTTGTTTATTTCGGTTATATTATTATACCTGATCTTTTCGAATTGCTTTTAAGATTTGTCTGTTTAACTGTCTCTGTTTATAGTTATTTGCTGCATGCCCCCTACTTTCGGATTGTTACTCTATTTCCTTTGCTTTCGTTTTTGTTCGTTTCACTATTTCTGGCTTCGATTTTCGGTTTTTGACAAGATTTGAGTTAAATTTGTCTCTTATTGGTTCTGGTGCTTTGCCTATCAACATCAATGTCAAAAGTTCGCGTGCATTTGTTTGTGTTCGTTCTGGATTTTTGACTTCAAATGTTCGAGATTTGGGCACTCATTTGCAGTTATTCATTATCCTTTCTTTTGTGTTCCCTAATTCCCAACCACTTGTTCCCAAAATATCCCATTTTATATGGGAAAGTTCCTCTTCTAGTTCTTCTGTAGTTTTTCGGGAGTTGAAAGTGTTTGGGCATTCACAGTTGCAATGATTATTCGTAATGCATAGCAGCCTGTAACCCGGCGATTCTTCGCATGTGTTTGTTGCGCTCGATCTTTTTTGCTTCAAATTTTACAGACTCGAAGAAATATTAGAGAAAGTGGGAATCGCAGGCGAACATTTTCGTGTTTCATTAGCATCCAATTGAGCAAAATTTCGCTTGCATTCACACGCAATTTGAGCCATGTTCGCTTGTGCTCGTTCTTGTTTGTTTCGGATTTTTGCTTCCAAGTTTACAGACTTCCAGTAATATCAAAGCAAGTGGCAAACGCAAACGAACATCGACGCACGTTTTCATGCATTAGTGTGATAAAATTGAGCGAAATTTGGCATGTACTCACACGAAATGTCCGCCATGCTTGCATGTGTTTGATGCGCTCGCTGTTGTTCGTTGGGGATTTTGTGGTTCAATCACAAACTTTCGCAAACGAACATTTTCGCGTTTTAATGGCATCAGATTGACCGAAATTTTGCATGTTTTCACATGAACTTTTAGTCGTGTTCGCACGTGTTTGTTGCACTTGCGTTGTTCGTTGGGGATGTTTGGCTTCAAATTTCAGTATTTCGGACATAGAATTCGCTAGAAACATCAGAGCTAGTGGGAAACTCAAGCGACCATTTCTGTGTTTCAGTGTCATAAAATTGACCGAAATTTCGCATGAATCTACTCGCAATTCTTGCTATGTTCTCATGTGTTTGTGGCGCTCGTTCTTGTTCGTTTGGCGGATTGTGTGCTCCAAATTGCAGTGTTTCAGTCGCATCTTTTTCGTGTATTAGTGGCACAGTGAAATTTGTTCCTGAATCGAATGTTCGTATGAATTCGTTGCGTTCGTTTCTCGATTAATTTAGGATTTTTTTGCAAAAAGAAATTAAAACGTGAAATTGACAAAGGGCGATTCTAAAAATAAACTGTTGCATCTTGCATGCCCCCTAGTTTGGGATTTTAGCTCCATTTCTTTTGCGTTCGTTCTGGTTCGTTTCACTATTTCTGGCTTCGATTTTCAGTGTTTAACAAGATTTGGGTGAAATTTGTCTCTCATCGGTTATAGCGCTTTACTTATGAGCATCGATGCCAATTCGGCGATGTGTTTGCGTGCATTCGTTGCGTTCGTTTTACATCTTTTGCTTCCAAGTTTACAGACCTCGAGTAACATCAGAGAAAGTAGCAGACGCAAACGAACATCGACGCAAATTTATGTGCATCAGTGTGATAAAATTGACCGAAATTTTGCATGTTTGCGCAGGTAATTCACGTCTTGTTTCGTTCTTGTTCGTTCGGGATTTTGTGCTTCAATCACAGACTTTCGCAAACAAACATCGGCGAACATGTTCATGTTTTAATGTAAATATTGCATGTTTTCAGATGAACTTCTAGTCGTGTTTGCATGTGTTTGTGTGGGATGTTTGGCTTTAAATTTCAGTATTTCTGTCGCAGATATCTCTAGAAACATCAGTGGGAATCAGGAAACAGCAGGGTTTCTAGTGGGAAACATAAGCGAACATTTCTGTGTTTCACTGTGAAAAAATTGCATGCGCCTTTCCGGATTTTGACTCCATTTCCTTTGCGTTCGTTTCACTATCTATCGCTTCGATTTTCAGTTTTTGACAAGATTTGAGTTAGATTTGTCTCTTATCGGTTCTGGTGCTTTGCCTATCAACATCGATTCCAATGTTCGCGTTCATTTGTTAGTGTTCGTTCTGGATTTTTTGCTTCAAATGTTCAATTTTTGGCACTCATTTGCAGCTCTTCATTATCATTTCTTTTGTGTCCGCTTATTCCCAACAACGTGTTCCCAAAATATCCCATTTTATATAGGAAAGTTCATCTTGTAGTTTTTCGGGAGTTGAAAGTGTTCGGGCATTCAGAGTCGCAATGATTATTCGTAATCCATGGTAGCCTGTAACCTAGCGATTCTTTGCACCGTCCGCCTGGTGACTTGTCCTACAGGGTGTACCAAGTCTATTCTGGACAGTGGGTGAGGTGGACTTGAGTAGGAGAGGCTGTAGCTTGCGCATCACTACCCCTAACCACCCCTTTCCGATCGTTCGAACGATGTCCACTGTGTAAAAAATAAGCCATTTATATTTACTTTAAACAGATGTTTTGGTTTCTTCTACTGAAAAATTGATTCATAATCCCTTACGCAAGATATAGGCTGGAAATAGACCATATTTTTGTATTATTCCATCAAATTTCAGGCATGTGTCCAGATCAGTGATAAACGCACTGGCAAACATAGCAGACAACATTCAGGGTGAGCACCAGATGAACGAACTCCTGAAGAGTCTTCTGGAAATGTTTGTTCAGTTGGGACTCGAAGGCAAAAGAGCGAGCGATAAATCACCGGGTAAGTGACTTGTGCGTATTAATGAAGAGTATTCAACTAAGATTGGAAGTGGAGGCTCAATATCAAAAAAGTTTAACATATTTTGGTCGATTGGACACAGGCTGACCCACTTCATTCGCGACGTAACTTTACAAGAGAGCGAATAAGTATTTTTTACTACTAACCTGAGAAGTCACCATTAGATAGAAGTTGTATTTCTATCCCTCGGTCAATAAGAATAATAATCAAAAAGTTCCTAGGTAAATAATGAAAGATGTTTACGTTTTTCATTATTTTTGGTTTGTCCACCATTTTCACTTCTAAAATCACTGTAATTTTAACATTCACTTTTCGCTTTTCCCAGAGTTTTCCATAGAACGTTTATCTGTTTTCTAGGGCCTTATTTTCACGCGTCTACGTGAGTACTCCCAAGCCAACTTATGGTTCTGAAGGTCTTATTCTTAAATTAAGGTTTTCCTGATTTAAAGCTGCAGATTTTCTCTTCTGAGATATTCTGGGTAGGCTTGAAAGTTTTTTGGTTTTTTCTTGACATTTTGTTAACTCCGTCCATCTATACCAACCAATCGCTTCCCTTTAGAAACTGCAAATATCTTGGAAACTCCCAGAAATTTCTTGATCAAGTGAGTTTTTCCTCCCTTAAAGCACCCGATTTTGTCCTTCTAGTGATCTTATGAGCCGCATTCAGGAATTTGTGGTTTTTCTTGGCGAATTTTTGAAAAATCTGTGTTGTCCAACGACCATTCGCTTCGATTTAGTGTCTGAAAAAATCCTGAAAACTCTCAGAATTTTGAAGTTTTTCTCGTTAAAAACCGCAGATTTTCTGTTTTGAGTGATGTTCTGGGCAGACTTAAGAGATTCTTTGTTTTTCCTGACATTTTTTTAAAATTTGTCTATACCACCGGCCAATCGCTTCCCCTTAGCAACTAAAAATATCCTGGAAACTCCCAGAAAATTCCTATTCAAGTGAGTTTTTCCTCACTTAAAGCAGCCGATTTTTCTATCAAGTGATGTTATAAGCCGCGTTCAGGAATATTTGGTTTTCCCTTGACGAATTTTTGAAAAATCCGTGTTGTTCAACGGCCTATCGCTGCCTGAAATTTAGTGCCTGAAAAAATGCTGAAAACTCCCAATTAAAGTGATATTTTCCTTACTTAAAGCAGCCGATTTTCTCTTTCGAATGATGTCATAGACCGCATGTAGGAATTTTTGGTTTTTCCTTGACGAATTTCTGAAAAACTCGTGTGGTTCAACCGTCAGTTGACTCGCATTAGTAACTGTAAAAATCCTCAAAAATTCAAGAAATTTCCTATAAAAGTGAGTTTTTCGAAAAAAAGTCAGCCAGGGCCCGTAAGAGTGACATAACTTATGTTCCAACGTTCACAATTCGCTGCGATCGTCGACAAAACACAAACTATTTGTCTGCGATCGCATCGTTTTTCGTCGTTTATCGCATTGAGTCGACGGCCGCCGATGTGCACGTACCCTTAGTTTGTAGTTAAAATTTTTTCTACCATGTCAAAACGTACTTCTTCCCTCATATCGTACAAAACAATAAACATTCCATCCAAAAAAAAAATGGATCTTAAAAATTTGTTGTCAAATAACGATTTTTTAAGTCTTTGTTCATTATTCGCGCCGCTCTCCGTATGCTATTATAACTATAATCGTAATTCATCCATTAACTTTATTTTGAACATAAAAAGTCTCTGTCTGTAAAGAATTACAACTGTTTTCCTGCCTCTTCTTAGTTGAATACTCGGCATTCAGTTGAATTTTTGTTCCTAACACGAAATACACACGACTTTTTTGTGATAATGTTCAACTTTTCTGTAGTGCTAGAAGCGGCCCCTTTTAAGATTAAAGAGTCCATGAAGGGTATGATACTGTTGATAAGCTACCATGATTTGCACAT